TATTTATTTATTCATTTATTTATATCAGATTAGACTCATAGGCATTTGTTTTATTCTTTGGGTTATGTTCCAATACTATTGTGATTTATTTTATTGCTCAAATCATTGCAGTTTTGGTGACTGGTAGCTCCTGCAGGTCAGACCTGCGTCTTTTTGACATGGCCCCCCAAACTCCACTTTTTTTTTTATAAGTACTTCTTTGCTTTCCAGCACTACAAGGTCTCCTTGCTCATCCTGTCTTTTCTCTGGCTCAGCCCTAATCATTCTTCAAAGGAGCTCTGGTTCTTTGTATTGAAGAATGCTGTTTAGAAACCAAGATCTGGGTATGAACTCTATTTGTTTGTTTGTTTGTTTAAAGATCAAAAATAAATTGTCTTTATTTTTAAGTCAGAGATTTAATCATGGGATTAAATAAGAAGATTCATTCTTCAAGTTCCTGAAAATTAGTAAAACTTAAAAACTCCAAAATATTTTTACTATTATTTTCACTCAGAATCACAGAAGAAATCATGAGTAGTTTTCCAGATTTTTCATAGGTAAACCCAGTTTCCTCAAATTTAGAACAGAATTATTTGGGGAAAAGTCATGTGCCAGTTTGAGAATGCCTAAGCCATAAAGCCATAAGCCATAAATTATTTACCATTTACAATCCCTTTTTTTTTTTTTTAGAGAGTCTCGCTCCGTCACCAAGGCTGGAGTGCAGTGGTGCAATGTGCCTCCTGGGCTCAAGGGATCCTCCCACCTCAGCCTCCCAAGTAGCTGGGATTACAGGCACACACCACCATGCTTGGCTAATTTTTGTATTTTTAGTAGAGATGGTGTCTTGCCATGTTGGCCAGGCTGGTCTCAAACACCTGACCTCAGGTGATCCGCCCACCTCGGCCTCCCAAAGTGCTGGGATTACAGGCGTGAGCCACTGCGCCCAGCCCCAGACTAGGTTTATCATTTCCAGCCAACTCATCATTTACAATCTTTATTCTCATACTCTCACACTCCTCTACCTGAATTATTGATAGACTTCTGAATTCCACTGCTAGACTCTATTCCCAGGAGTGCTTCCCAAATGCCCCTACCCATAAGAACCTGGCCTTCCAAATAACACTCAAGTTGAAAGCAACGTTTCTGCAAATTAAACAGAAAAATACTTTTTCCACTTAGAAAATGATCTTCTATTACAGAAGACTTATTTGGCACCTCAACCCTAACATCGATAATGTAAAAATTGTTGTCATTATAAATTTTCCCTCTATGTTATTATTATTAATTTTTCTTGTTTTAAGAGACAAGGTCTCGCTCTGTCACCCAGGTTGAAATGCAATAGCATAGCTCATATACGATCACAGCCCACTGCAGCCTCAAACTCCTGGGCTCAAGCAACACTCCTGCCAGTCTCCCAAGTAGCTGGGACTAGGGGCATGCACCACCATGCCTGGCTAATTAAAACACCTTTTTTCTTCTTTTTTTGTAGCGATAGGACTGGCAGGTGGGGGTGAGGAGGGGTTGGGGGTAGGTGTCTAGTTATCTTGCTCATAGCTCAAGCTGGTCTCAAACTCCTGTCCTCAAACAATTCTCCCGCCTCGGCCTCCCAAAGCACTGGAATTATAGGTGTGAGCCACTGCACCGGGCCTCTAATGTTATTTTTTAGTAACTTTTGTTCTTCACATGAATATTGCCTTAAAATACTTTTTATTCTCTCTTCCCTATTCACTATCATTTCTTACATTACTCAAAGACTTTCTCTTCTCTGAACCACTAGATTGCTCATGAACTGCCTTCTTTCTCAACCAGAATCCTGAATTAAACTAAAACACAACACACAACAAAGAAAGGAACAACCCAATGCTAATTTGGTAAATACCTCAAATTAAACTTCATGCAAATATTAATCATCAAATGTTTAATAAAAGTAAATGAAACAGTTGAGTATGTTTGGGTTTGTTTTTTTCTTGTTTGTTTTGTTGTGTTTTTTTTGAGACGGAGTCTCGCTCTGACGCCCAGGCTGGAGTGCAGTGGCGCAATCTCAGCTCACTGCAACCTCCACCTCCCAGGTTCAAGCGATTCTCCTGCCTCAGCTTCCCAAGTAGCTAGGACTACAGGCATGCACCACCACACCCAGCTAATTTTTGTATTTCTAGTAGAGCTGGGATTTTACCATATTGGCCAGGCTGGTCTCGAACTCCTAACCTCAGGTGATCCACCTGCCTTCGCCTCCCAAAGTGCTGGGATTACAGGCATGAGCCACCGAACCTGGTCTGTTTGTATTTTTTAACAGCTAGTAAAACAGTATCGAACACCTACATAATATATACATGATCCTCACAAAAAAAGAGTCTTCCTAGCCAAGAACTTTCATGTATTGATGGAACTTTCTTTTTCTATTTTATTGCTGCCGAGTAAAAGGAGGACACCATCTTCTTCCTGCTTCTAAAGCCTTCTGATTCTTACTTTCACTGTTGTGTCAGTACAGGAAAGAGATTATAGAAACATTGTTAAGTGGATTACTATATTGATAAAATAGGATGAATAAAGAAATGTCACTACCATTTACTTATAGCATTACTTCTTTTTTTTTTTTTTTTTTGAAACAGGGTCTCGCTTTGTTGCCCAGGCTGGCGTACAGTGGTGCAATCTCAGCTTACTGCAGCCTCCACCTCTTGGGTTCATGAGATTCTCGTGCCTTAGTGTCTGGAGTAGCTGGGACTACAGGTGCATACCACCACACCCAGTTAATTTTTGTATTTTCAGTAGAGACAGGGTTTTGCCACGAACTCCTACCCTCAAGTGATCCACCCACCTTGGCCTCTCAAAGTGCTGGGATTACAGGCATGAGCCACGTGCCTGGCCAACTTATAGCATTACTTCTATTAGAAAATATATTTACAGGTCCCAAATTGTCTGTTTAAAAATGAACCTTTGTTGTGTGTGTGTGTGTGTATATGTATATACACACACACACACACACGTGTATCTTTCATAAGTCACTGCACATTATACATAATACTGTGCACCTTGCTTTTTTGGGGGGGCGGGAGGAGGGGATAGGGTCTTACTGTCACCCAGGCTGGAGTGTAGGTAGCAGCATGATCACAGCTCACTGCAGCCTTGACCTCCCAGGCTCAAGTGATCTTCCCACCTCAGCCTCCAGCCTCCAGAGTAGCTGGGACTACAGGTGTGTACCACCATGCCCAGCAAATATTTTTTATTTTCTGTAGAGACAAGGTCTTGCTATGTTACCCAGGCTAGTCTCGAACTCCTGGGCTCAAGCAATCCTCTTGCCTTGGCTTCCCAAAGTGCTGGGATTACAGGTGTGAGCCACTGCACCCAGACTGCACCTTGCTTTTTACACTTAACATATGTTCAAGATCTTAGGTCTTCCATATTAGTATATAAAGATAGGTCTCATTATTTTTAACAGATGCCTAACATTCCGCAGCGTTTTTTTAAAGCTGGCAACTACCTATTCAAAATATAAACACTAAAACAATCTAAACAGAATAGAATGAACAGTTTAAACCTTGTTATCAAAGGCCATTACCAGCTTTTGGACAGACTAACCTTCACTCGGGGACAGAAAAGCAGCATAAAAGGCCAAGGAGAAGAGCAATTTTGATCTAGGGAATTCTGGAGCTGGTCTAGGATCATTCTTGTCCCATACACTTGGGGTTGTGCTATGCCAGGGGTTTGGACCAGCCCTATCAACTCCAATTTTACTAATTTCCAGGAGGCCAAACCAGTGGATTATATAGGCCCTTCGGAATGCCCATGGCCCATATCTTCAGCACTCAAACTTCTGAGGAGGCACAGAGACAATGTCCTTTTCTCCAGAAAAGGAAAGGACAGCTCTGTTGGAAGCAAGCTATCTGGACCTCTAGGCTTTCAAAATAGAGCTATTTCAAGCAAAACTACACTAGGCTTATTCATGAGAAGGATAAAAAACAAATGTTGCCATATTATTTCACCACTGTCTTGACTTATTCTATTAATTTCATGGGACTGCTATCCAAATATTAGTCCACTAACAATATTATTACCTATAGGGTTACATTTACAAAGACTACCTTTGAAAGTGTTTTAAAAGAAGGAAAAAAATAATATGATCATGTCATACTTACGAAGTGCCGGACAGCAAAAATGGAGTGCGAACACCATCCACCACCACAACATTCCTTATATTGGGTTTGGCTAACGTCTTCTTTGTTTTGGTCTGGACAGCTTTAAGATAAAGTTTTAAAAAAAACTGCTAATTAAAATATATAAGTCTGATTACTTTTACTTTTTTTTTTTTTAAGCTGGAGTCTCGCTCTGTCACCCAGGCTGGAGTGCAATGGTGCAATCTCGGCTCACTGCAACCTCTGCCTCCTGGATTCAAGCAATTCTCCTGCCTCAACCTCCCGAGTAGCTGGGATTACAGGCACCTGCCATCATGCCTGGCTAATTTTTGTATTTTTGTAGAGATGGGGTTTCACCATGTTGGCCAGGCTGGTCTCAAACTCCTGACCTCAGGTGACGTGCCCACCTCAGCCTCCCAAACTGCTGGGATTACAGACATGAGCCACCATGCCCGGTCTACTTTTACATTTTTTAAGACAGTCACTTTAAGAATTATTACATCATTAATGCCAACCTGCATTTACCATTTACTAAACCACTTTAAATTTTTTTTCAAAAAAAGGCTAAGAAACTGACTAGCATTTGTAAGTTTCTACATAATATTTAAGATAAAGCTTATATCCAATGATGAGGGAATTTATGCCATTAACAAAATAGTTCATTTTTATTAAGTGTTTGACAACCTATATCATTAGAAGTAACCAAATTTACATGCAAATCTACCCTTAATATTAGAAGTTGCAATGATTGATATTGTTCACTCTTCACATAGCTTGATGTTCTTACCTTTCTATGTGGAAATAAAGGGCCCTTGGTTGGTGACTTGCTATTCTGCAAAAACCTACATGCCTAAATACTTTTTAATCTCAAAAAAGCAAACTTCCTTTAGGTTTCTTTCTTTTTTTTTTTTTTTTTAATGTTTAAGCTGTATATTTACTCATTGAAACACTAGGTAAAATAAGGGTAAAATCAACTAAAGGAAAAATAGTTGTTTGATTCATTTGTACTTAAATTGACTAAAGTAGTACTAACGTCATTATGATGCAGCAAATATAAGACCTCTTTCTACAAAGATTAGCATAACCAACAAATTAGGGGATATAGTAAAACTGAGCCAAAAAGGGTGAGGAAATCAATTAACCGTTTACCTCAATAGTTTTTAAAAAATAAGCAAAGCCTCAAAATCCCAAACAATAGGAGTATCTTCATAACACCAATTTGTACTTGTATTTCTTATTCTTGAGGTTAGATTCTAAACACTAAAGATATCCAAACTAGTATTAGATCTACTTATCTATAGCCAGAGACAGCTTTTATCATGTTGTCCTTAGCAGTCAAAGTTATTAAAATGTCTTTTCTCCAGGAAGATCCAATAGGAAAAAAAGAAACCTCTCTGATTAGGCTCCAACCATACTCCACCCTCCATCAAATTGACTGGATAGACATAATGGAAACCAGAACACGTGGTTTCCAAACAAGAAAAATCCTATCAGGGAGGGGAGGAGGGGAGAGGAAGGTTCAGCCAGTGCCCAGACTGAAATTGAGTAATATCAATTTTACTCATCTTTACATATCTTCAGGTTGCACGTTCGTGGAGTAGTTTAGGAATAAATCCATGGTTTGTGGAGTACTAAATACCTAGTCGTCTGCTGTATTACATTAAGGCCTTCCCCAGCAGCTTCCAAAGCAGCCTCCAAGTCACTGGCAGGAGAATTTGGCTGGAACTGCAAGCAGGACTGTAGAGATTCCTCTTCATAGTCATAGAAGGGACTGTTCCAGGCCTGATTGTTCCAGAACTGGGTGCACCAGGTCTGAGCGTTCCAGGAGTGGCTGCTCCAGGGTGGGACGTTCTGGCTCTGGTTGCTCCAGGATGAATTGTTCCAGGTCTGGTTCCTCCACATCGGAAGATTCCCAATCGGGTTCACCAGACATCCCTGGTAGTAGGAAGAGTAGTGGCTGGGGTAGGTAGGCGCTGAAGCCTTCTGAGTCACACCACTGGTATTCTTTGGCCAGTTGTTTTTCAGCCACCTCTTGGATTTCATTCTCTGGTTCTGGAACCAGGTCTTCACCTGTTTGTAGCGGAGGTTCAGGATGTTGGAAAGTTCTTGCATCTGCTGGAGGCTGAGGTATCTCTGTCTCTGAAATCTATCATTGAGTACACACAGCTGGGCGGAAGAGAACACAGTTCTGGCCTTCTGTTTCTTGACCGGGACCTTGTCTTCCTTTTTTGTGGCACTATTCTCTGCAGCAGTAGGTTGTCTGCCTTTGGGACTGGTGGAAGAATCGGGGCTGTCCTGAATAAGCAGATCCATGGAGGAAGGAAGAGGAGAGACAGTCTCCGTGTGAGGCATCTCAGTAGAAGACATTTGCAAGGATGGATAGTTTTCTTCAGGCCCACAAATCACAGGCACAGGTGAAGATTCTTTACCATCTGATGCTTTGAAGCAAGGCAAGCTTTGGGGACAAGCTGGATCCACACTTAGTTTCCTTTAGTTTGGTCTCTTGTCTATCCCTCCTCCCAGGTAGTCGACTTCTGACTTTTTCCCTCTGGCTCTTTAGCTTCTTCTCAGGTCTGGTGATATTGTCATGTCTTTCAAGACTACTCCGTGCCCATCTTGTGTGTGTGTGTGTGTGTGTGTGTGTGTTTCACATTCTTCGCCAAGGAAACCCTTTAGGTTTCTTAAATTAAAGAATAAAATACAAATACGTGCCTGTGGTTTTTTTAAAAAGTAAATAATACTAAACTATGGAAAGTAAAAACTAAAGTTCCCTCTTTATGCTTTCGCCTACCACACTATTTTCTTCCGAGAGGTAAAGTCTGTTTATTTGGTGTATACACTTTCAAATATTTTCTTTTAGTGCATTTACATTCATATACTTGTACGTTATGTATACTTTGTTGGCTTAACAATATAGCTGGAAGAACATTCCGTGTTAGTATATCAAAATCTAGTTCATTATTTTCTTGTTGTTGTTAATGTTGGAATTTACCTACTCTATCATTATTTCTTCATTATCAGAGATAGAAAAAAATCCTAAATTACTGGGAATACAATGTCGACAACGACCTTACCACATCTGTTAATGTCACAGAGAAATATTTGTAGTAAACATCTACAACCAACTTTAAAGAAATATTAGTCAGAGTTAATAGTCATGATAAAATAGGGCATAAAGATGACCCTGGCAGCATTCATGGAGATGTGCTGCTGGTGAAGGAGATAAACGGAACAAGGAGGTAAGTGAAGAGACTGTGGCAAACCCAAGTATGTGGTGCAAAAGGCCAGGATAAAGGCAGTATCAACATGAGAGGACGTTTATAAAGGAAAACAAGGTATGCTGGCTACCAATCAGATATAGAAAGAAAGGAAACAGGAAAACAGGATTATAAAGGAAGCTTAGAGACTAAGAATACTTAGCTACCTGAAACAAAGTGAGAACTGGTTTTGGAACAAAAAGGGGACTTAATTTTTTGGTTTTTTTTTTTTTTTTTTTTTGAGATGATGTCTCGCTCTGTCGCCAAGGCTGGAGTGCTGTGGCACAATCTCGGCTAACTGCAACCTCCACTTCCCAGGTTCAAGCAATTCTCCTGCCTCAGCCTCCCGAGCAGTTGGGATTACAGGCGCATGCCACCACACCCAGCTAGTTTTTACATTTTTAGTAAAGATGGGGTTTCACCTTGTTTGCCAGGCTGGTCTTGAACTCCTGACCTCAAGTGATTCGCACACCTTGGCTTCCTAAAGTGTTGGGATTACAGGCGTAAGCCACTGTGCCCGGCCTCATTTTTAAACTAATTTTGAGGTGACAGAGAGACATCCAGGTGGATATGTTAACTACACAGTTAGCTAGAAGATGCAGAGCAAAACCTCTGAAGAGAAATGAGTGTAGATTAGAAAGTCATGAAATATTGAAACTCAGAATACAGAAGGAAAGCAGAGATGTATTTTGCAACGCCTGTTCTCCGACAGCCCCCTCTATTTCTTTTAAATTTCTTTTTTCCTCTTTAACAATAAAAGATGCTTTTTTTGTTTGTTTGGGTGTGGGGGGGTGTTTGTTGTGTTGTTGTTTTGGACATCCCACAGCCCCCTCTAAAGGGAGTTGCCCCGCTTACAGTCCCTGCCAAAGGGGAAGCCATAGGCACAACTCTAAGTCAATATAAAAACTGATCAGATCCAGAGTAGGTACTGGACTCACCAACGATCCATCCATATAGGAGCCAACCACAAACCAGTGTCATCTACCTACAAGTGATCAGTTGTGCTAGTCAGATTCTCTCTCTAGGCAAAGAAGCACGGAAAGAAATGCCAATTAGTTGAAGCTGAAAAGATGTCACGAGGTAGAATCAGGGTGATGGTAAATTGACGTCATTCATAAGTCAGTCTGTAAACCGTAAGTGAGCAAATAAGCCAGCCAGAAGGAAGAATCATAGAAGCAGAAAGACCAGGAAAGGGACATACCATGTGGGGCATGAGAGAGACAAAGTAGCTGGCCCCTAGAGCTGCTTGCTTGGTTCCTAACGCCTTTCCAGCTGTAGTACACACAAACCTTCTCATCCTTAACCTGAGGGTCCATTACTACAACAAAAAGACCCTTAGCTTTGTGATGTCCCTACAATGAGAAGGCTGAGGGAAGATGCGAGACAAACAGTAACTTAAGAGGCAGTAGGAAAATCAAGAGAGAACGGTATAAAAGATCAAAGGCAGGAGAGTGTCAAGGAGAACAAGATGGTCAAATGCATTGGTCCTCAAGGAGAAGAATCCTAATTTCAATAGACTGAAAACAGGCCACTAAATGTGAAGATTTGCAGACTATTCATGACTGACCTTGCAGGTGACAGGTCCAATGGTATGCCATCATGTCATTCCACATTTTAAAAACTAACCAAGCCAGGCGTGGTGGCTCATGCCTGTAATCTCACCACTTTGGGAGGCCGAGGCGGGCAGATCACGAGGTCAGGAGTTCAAGATCAGCCTGGCCAACATGGTGAAACTCTGCCTCTACTAAAAATACAAAAATTGGATGGGCACAGGGGTACGCGCCTATAATCCCAGCTACTGGGGAGGCTGAGGCAGAAGAATGGCTTGAACCCAGGAGGTGGAGGTTGCCGTAAGCTGAGATCTTGCCACTGCACTCCAGCCTGGGTGACAGGGCAAGACTCTGTCTCAAAACAAACACACAAACAAACAAAACTCACCATGTATTCCTTTTATACACTTTCAGATAAATTTCAAATTCTTAACTCTTCTAACAAACAGCCTGCTTTACTTGGTTCCACCTTAACTATCCAGAAGTATTTTCCACTACTTCTCAAAATAGAACAAGATGAGCCAGCCCCCAGTCCTTTACAGCTTTGCTCAGGTCAGCCTCCTTGCCTTTACTTATGGACCTCCCATCTGCCTGGTCCCTTTTTTGCCCATCTAATTCTTAACCTGTCTCTTGGGCCTCGTTCACATTCTATCTCCTAGTAAAGCCTTCCCTGATAACTACAGTTACTGAGGGTTCCTGCCTCTAAACCTCTGGGCAGCCTCTAGGGCATACTGGCCATTCCAAATAATTTAGCATATTATAAAGTAATTAAACTAACTCTACAAGCCACATTTTTAAAATATTCATTATTATATGTAGGAGATCAGTCAGAGTGGTGGGAGAAACTATAGGGAAAGGTGCAGGCCTTCCGAAAGGTCAGAAGGTTCTGCAGAGCCCCGGGGAGGAACAGCTGAAGGCAGATGTTCTATAACCCTGAGGCAGAGGGCAAGAAGTAGGTACAAGGGAGTGTAGGGGAATGTATCTTAAACTAGCTTATTTATTTATGTTGACCAGGGGCTGATCTTTGATCACCCATGCAAGATGTTCCTGGAAGGGGAACAATAAATGTTAGTTACCCATAGATTGTGTTTGCTCCAGGCTTTCATCATTGTGCCTATACTGAATGAGAGCAAGCAGCTCCAGTTCCTCGGGCTGCTGCACTTTGGCCACTAGAGCCAGGCAGACCCCTAGCTGGTCTTACACTGCATACCTGTGTCTGAGTACTCATTTCATCTGTCAGTTGGCCAGGGTCTGCAGGACAGACCTGGCAGGTGGTGCCCCATGTGAGGCTGCAATGGATCCTGACAGAACCCTCAAAAATGAAGGTGAAGTGACTGGGCAGTAAGTAATTGGTGCCCGCTCAGGATTTCCAAGTCTGAGGGGATTTTCAAGCTAGGCTTTCATCATGGGACATGATGTTTCATCATGGTGAGAGACAGGACTAACTAGATTTCCTAGGCCAACTAAGAACTCCTAAGCCTAGCTGGAGAAGGTGACTGCACCCACCTTTAAACACAGGGCTTGTAACTCAGCTCACACCTGACCAATCAGGTAGTAAAGAGGGCTCACTAAAATACCAATTAGGTTAAAAGCAAGAGGTAAAGAAATACTCAAATCATCTATCATCTGAGAGCACAGGAGGAGGGACAATGATTGGGATATAAACCCCAGGCATTTGAGCAGGGAGAGGCAACCCCCTTTGGGTCCCCTCCCCTTGTATGGGAGCTCTGTTTTCACTCTATTAAATCTTGCACACTCTTCTGGTCCGGCTTGAGCTGAGCTTTTGCTCACCATCCACCACTGCTGCTCGCTGCTGTCACAGACCCGCCGTTGACTTCCACCCCTCCGGATCAGGCAGGGTGTCCGCTGCGTTTCTTTCTTTCTTTTTTTTTTTTTTTTGAGACGGAGTCTCGCTGTGTCTCTCAGGCTGGAGTCCAGTGACTGGATCTCGGCTCACTGCAAGCTCCGCCTCCCGGGTTTACGCCATTCTCTTGCCTCAGCCTCACGAGTAGCTGGGACTACAGGCGCCCGCCACCTCGCCCGGCTCATTTTTTGTATTTTTTAGTAGAGACGGGGTTTCACCATGTTAGCAGGGATGGTCTTGATCTCCTGACCTCGTGATCCGCCCATCTCGGCCTCCCAAAGTGCTGGGATTACAGGCTTGAGCCACCACGCCCGGCCTCTGCTGCGTTTCTGATCCAGTGAGGCAACCAGTGCCCTTCCGTTCAGCCTAGAGGCTCGCCATTGTTCCTGTGCAGCTAAGTGCGCAGGTTCATCCTAATCAAGCTGAACACTAGTCGCTGGGTTCCACCGTTCTCTTCCATGACCCACGGCTTCCAATAGAGCTATAACACTCACCTCATGGCCCAAGGTTCCATTCCTTGGAATCTGCGAGGCCAAGCACCTCAGGTCAGAGAAAAAAAGGCTTGCCACCATCTTGGGAGCGGCCTGCCCCATCTTGGGAGCTCTAAGAACAAAGGCCCACCCGTAACAATGGGACATGAGTTAGCTCAACAGCAACAATACGTAAAAGTATTGAAACAGCTGCTTAAAGCTAGCAGAGCCTTGGTTTTGGAGGCTCAATTAAGGGACCTAATGCAAACTGCTGTTTTCCATAACCCATGGTTCCCAGAAGAAAGCACACTAGACCTAGAGTTCTGGGAACAAGTCGGAAGAAATCATTTTTTTTTTTTTTGAGACAGAGTGTTGCTCTGTAGCCCGGGCTAGAATACAGCAGCACAATCTCGGCTCACTGCAAGCTCCACCTCCGGGGTTCACACCATTCTCCTGCCTCAGCCTCCCAAGTAGCTGGGACCAGAGGCGCCCACCACCACACCTGGCTAATTTTTTGTATTTTTAGTAGAGACGGGGTTTCACCGTGTTAGCCAGGATGGTCTCGATCTCTTGACCTTGTGATCCGCCTGCCTCGGCCTCCCAAAGTGCTGGGATTACAGGCGTGAGCCACCACGCCCAGCCACAAGTGGGAAGAAATCTTAAATGACATCATGTACAAGGGGAACAGGTCCCAGTAACATCTTTAACGTTTTAGGCCTTAGTTAGGGCTGCTTTGGCCCTGCTCTACACAGAAGAGCCTAAAAAGGGAAGGGAAGAGGAACCATCACCTACCTTACCACCTCCTCCTCCTCCCTCAGCCCCACCGTTACTAGGTAAAGGTGCCACAGAGGAGACAGAGGTTTTTCCTGAGCCCCCTCCCCCAATAAACTGGGAAGAAGACAATGGATATACTACAGTTATGGGACCCTGTCTTAGGCAAGCAGCATTAGAAGGGGAGCTCTTGGCCGGGATCGGTGGCTCACGCCTGTAATCCCAGCACTTTGGGAGGCCGAGGTGGGTGGATCACGCGGTCAGGAGATTGAGACTATCCTGGCTAACATGGTGAAACCCCATCTCTACTAAAAGTACAAAAAATTAGCTAGGCATGGTGGTGGGCACCTGTAGTCCCAGCTACTCAGGAGGCTGAGGCAGGAGAATGGCGAGAACCCAGGAGGCGGAGCTTGCAGTGAGCCGAGGTCAGGCCACTGTACTCCAGCCTGGGCAACAGAGCAAGACTCCATCTCAAAAAAAAAAAAAAAAAAAAAAAAAGAAAAGAAGGGGAGCTCTTAGTCTGCCCAGTGATGCAAAATCAACAAGGCAATCAGGTACATGAACCCATTACTTT